GCTGTAAATCTGTCTGCAGTATTTTCCCGGCTTGAAGTTGATTCCTCAAAAGTTACCTTGTACAGAGACGGGGTTTCTCTCAAAGCATATGATATTTTAGAAAAGACAATCGTCAATGTAAAAGGAACGTTAAATAGTTTTGTAAAACGTATCTTGCATATTTTGAAACTATCTTTTATATGTTATTTACGCTTTCTGATTGAGCATTTGTGAATGTTTTGTTTGAATTTGATGTTTGACTTTTGATAGGACATATTTACTTTTATTCATAACTATCGACGGTAATGTTTATATTAGAATTCCACCTTGAGAATGGCACTGGTCATTTAAGTGTATTATATTAACCATAACTACATCGTCATTAATAATTTATTTGTTATCAGTTTATATAAAGATTGACCATTCATAATACGGCCAATAAATTAATAATGAATAGAAATGTAGCTGATAAGTAACGGCATATTTCTAGTGTTCGGAAACAGGTTTCATTAATGAATTACAACCCGTCACCACTATTTACATCGAGCAATATCTACCAGCTGCAACAGCCCATGGCATTTTTCTAGGTCTTAAGGTTGCGCAACTCTAATGAATATCATTTCAAACTGTTTTCATAATATGTATAATATCACTGACTTTTTATAAATAAAAATATTATTTATTTTTGACATTCTTCCTATTTGGCACTAAACCCCTGTGATAAGTAACTTACATATACGAGTATATGCCATTATTACAACCAATATAGTATATGATTATTTATAATACTGCACGTTTGTAACGTCGCTTTTCGTTGGATAATCGTGATAATAACATAATTTATGAATTGCCAAACATTTTCATATCTTTTTTTGATATTGTAGAGCATTGTTACTAAGGTCATGATAAACTGATATAACAATTGTTACTGATATTTTATAGTGAAAAACAACAACAAGTTTAACAATTGTTACTGATATTTTATAGTAGTACTTTTTATAGTGAAAAACAACACTAAGTTCTTACATAAATAGTTCATACATTGACATTTAACAGCCTCAATTCACACAATTTGTGAAAATTTAAAAAAAATGCTTTTCTATGTACCTGTTAACCTTTTACCCCATGAGCATATTGCGAAAAATGGCCATTTCATTGAAAAGCCTCCTGCAACAAGTTCAAACTGCTATGAAACTATGAAAAATGCTTCAATACTGATAAAACTTGGCACAAATGTTGACTACACCATAGCCTCTGTAACAGCATGCTCAATCGTAAATTTTCAAAATTGCCAAAAATCACTATTTTGCATTGTTTTTTTTTCCATCAAAACTGATTTCAAAGTGCTGCAACTTCTCAATGAATTGAGATAGAGTAAAAGGCTTTTCAGCGTCAGTTACTAGTTACCCTAAGATCCACCTGAGGCCATTTTTAGCCTGTCACATGTCCAAAATTTTCTTGGCGATGAGGGGGACTCCGCCCCTTCAAACCCCCAAAACAGAAGGGGGCACATCCCCCTTCTGGCAACCCCCTGATGTAACATTTGGATGGGGGACGGCGCCGAAAAAGTGGTCACTTTTTTAAACAACATTTCTCAAACGAAAACTAGTGTTTGGGGCCTAAATAGGGCATTTTTTCACTGTTTGAGGCCTCAAAGGGGGGGGGGGGGGCAAAAAGCCGTCAAAACACGCTTATATGAGGGGAAAGGTTAAAACAAATTATGCATCAAGTTATCTAAGAATTTTTATTCAAAATATTTAAAAATCTTAGGAAAAATTTCATTCAATATTTTTGTCAAGCGACCAGTGTATACTACTATTGTAAAAATGCTACATTCAACATGCGTTGGTTGCTTTAAAAGTCCATGTCTATAATTCAGCGCCTACTTTTTTTCTTTTTCTTTTTATCCCAATAGTGGGATACTTAGATTATTTTCTTTGTTTTGATACAGAACATTCTTGTGCCCACAGAGTTTATATGTATTTCACATTTCAATGAAATATCATTAACGCACAATAAAGCCAGTATTAGCATTTGAACAATTAAACGACCATCGTTTGCATTGTAGTTATTTAGCACAAGTGACAGCTCAAAGCTCAAAGATTGTATCACATAAAAAATAAAACATGACAACTATTTATGTCAAATTATAATAAAGTGTACTACAGAACAAACATTAGACTTTTCTGTCCTCAAGCTAGATATATTGGAAAGAAGTAACGATACAGTACAGATGTACTGTAATTTTTGCTTAAAAGTAAAATCATGAACAAAATTAAAATTTGATAAAGCATCATATAAAAAACATCTCTCTGAAAATAAAATGTCATATCTCGTGATATTAAAGTCATGTCTAGTGATATTAAAGTCGTGTATCTAAAATCTTATTTAATTTATATATTTTACATAAACCATTATAAAGTACGCCTTGTAACATATATTTTAATTCAAACTGTTCATGTAAGGTTTCTAATAAATAAATAAATGACAAAAGCACGATTAGAATATGTTTATGTTAACTTGAAGTCGTACATCTGTCTGGTGTTCCTTTAGCTAATATATCAATGTCGTATAACTGAAATACTTCCATAAAAATATTGTTTGAAATTGACTAACCATACCCTGACCTCTGTATTTGATAAGGAACACATTTGCGCATGCGTCTTTTGTTTGATATATGATCTTTGTGTATGTAATGATAGCGTCGAGACAAAGTAGATATAGTAAACATGATATCATAATCTAGAACATTTGTCTTCTATATTCGACAGATATACATCTTGATTGATGTCATCTTTCTATACAATAATATATTGTAAACTGCTGAAAAATAAGTCCTGATAAAGATGCCTTACTGCGTGATAATAGGAAAATCAAATTGTTATTTTCAATTATTTGTATTTCATGGTCAAGCGTCATCTGGTAGGTAAGAATATAATAGCACACCAAACAAACAAAAACCTAATCTAATTTCATGCAAAATAAAGAAACAACCGGTAATGTATAATAAACAGAGTACAATCTGAACTGCATGTAGATAACGTTTATTATCTGTCTTTATAGGTGTTTTAATGCAATAATTATGCTGCATTTACAAGTGCGACAGAAGAGAGCTTTAGAAGTTATTTTGTCCAAAAAAAAATGCATTTGACTAATTTTATTTGATGATGCATGGCTATGGCTATAACTAAATAATTAAATCAACAATGGAATTGTTTCATGACTTTAATTAACTAAAATGTGAAATGAAACTCATCCTTTATATCAACAAAGCTAAGACAGCATTTATTTTTCTTAATGCTAATACAGTTGAATAGAAAATCGTCCGGCGATAAACAACGCGAAAACTGCAGCTATTTGATAATTTTGGCCTGATTTTTCTAGAGGGAAAAAATAATTATAACTTTTCATACTGTACTAAAATTTATCTGATACGTTCGTTCTGTGTAGAAATGGACTTCAGTTCACTTTGCAACGAAATAACTGATAAGTACCATGTATGCACTTTATTCTTCATTGTAGAATATTTTTAAATTAAAACGAATAGTATTTTCTGGGAGTACCCAATTGTTCCTACTGTTATTACAACAACAATAACAACAACAGACAATAATAAAATATTGGTTTTATTTATTCACTTTGATACGAAAATGAACTATTTACATATAAATAAAGATAAGAGGGAAGATAAATGATTGTGTTGGAGGTACAGTCTATCTTCATTGTAAAAGTGTGTAAGAGAACCGTTGTAGCATGTCGGTTACAATAAATACAGGCGACATTGACAACTTGATGCCAGCATTATGTTTGATTAGTTGGTAATTGGAGGAGCATAGAGACAGTGTTTTCACATAAAGAAGTAACAACACTTGACAACCAAATTACTTCGCTGAACGGTATTTATGACATAATGTGGCAACTGAAACATGCAAAATTTCATTGCAAATAGCCAAACTGAACAACACTCATTGTTTGTTAAAATTGCTATTGAACATCGAAGATGTAAATTGTTTTCACAATACATACATATTTATTTCAACAAGATCAAATAAGTAAAAGCATATAACAATCAAAACAACGTTACATACAAAAGAGACATAAATTATATAGTTATATTATACATATTTACACAGCTTATAGGCATTAAGGGAGACATGATTAAACAAAACCACAAATGTTTAACCGACATATAGAATAATCGTAAAATTTGTATTGTAATAAAACATTCTTAAAATTTATTATTGCGAAATATAAGACTCATTTATTCATAATTATGTTATATGACTTGATGAATACATACACGAAATCACGTTTACATGTTATTATGGCTGGATATATACATATATAAATTTATGTATACATAATTATATGATTTTGGTGTTTATTATTTTTATTATTATTATTATTATTATTATTATTATTATTATTATTATTATTATTATTATTATCATCATCATTGTTATGTTATGTAAAATCAGTAATTAACAGACAAAAGCAAAGCCTAAGAAAAGAAGAAACATCTAGACGCTGGGTCAACTATATAGAAGACATTTTTTATAGATTTAAGATCACACGAGACATTCTGTGATCAGTCTTGATTTATAAACTGTCATATTTTCCTGATGTCAATAATATGCATAGATTGTAATTGTTTTTCTGATTCAATATTCTGCGTATATATCACCAAAATGTCAAGTGAATTGACAAATAAAGAAATTTCAACTAAAATTGTATACGACTTGTTGCAATTCAAATTCCAATACTGTTTGCGTGTACATCAATCCTACGAGAATAACAGAAGCATCATGGGAGGTCATTTGTCTATAATTACCATGCCAACTTTTGCAATATTACGATTGTCTTATTATTCCATAATTTTACCCATCATGCTATTCTTCCCGCGAGAAAACAAATCACTAAGTGACGCAGTGCGTGCCATTGGACTGGTCACGCATGCGCCGAACTGTTTATATTATGTACATTCCCAATGACGCACGCCAATGCCTAATATTAGTTCCAAAAAATGTCCGATACAAACGTTCCTTGTCACGTGACTGAGTGTTATTTAAAGCCAATGGCAAATTGAGATTCGGCAAAATACTTTTTGAACTTCAGATCAAACAGGAAGAACTATGTTTAGTTGATCAGGAACTTTTATATTTTGTAAAACAGAACAACTTGACAAGAAAATCATTTTCGTCGTTAACTTACACAGTGAGTACTATCTTTTATTCATTTATCTTTTTGCAAGTATTTTTTTTGTAAACAAGTTTAGCAAGATTAAGTTTTTTAGAGTTGATGAAGCTGAAGTTCAGATTTAATATTATACACTTTGTTATAGTACTGATTTAGTATCATACAAATGGCAATTGTTAAATACTCATAGTGTTCTGATTTTCATAACAAATAAGTATTAAGAGATATATTTCTGCCTTCATTCTTCAGAATAATGTATATCAAGTTTAAGTTATTATTGAGAAATTAAAATAAACATTTACACAAGACGACTGTCTAGAGACTCATAACAAAAACATTAGTGAGATGTTGTTTATTTTAACAGAATATAATGGCAAATAAAATTCATATTATTATATTATATTTTCTCTCGTAGGCGTTCCAATTATAGAAAAAATATTTCAAAGAAATTTTACGAACATTTACGTTGCATTTCTGAGGCTTTCATTTTTAATATGAGTAGAAATAATTTATTTTGACAAAATAAATCTTGGGGACTCATCAACCTTTTTATCTATCTTATTACACTGAATTATTACTATATCATATGTGAACTTCAAGCCAACAATGTTACAAATGCAGCAAACTGTTTTTACAGTAAAGAAATATATATACAAATTACAATGCATTTTTTTATTAATTTTATTTCTTGTTTCTTAACTCTTACTAAAAATGAGGACCATTTATACATAGTTTGATACATTATAGGAAATTTAATGGGATAGTGAACGACTTTATTTTGATAATAAATTATCTTAATTGGTCACTTACTTTTGGAAATACTTGGACACAATGTTTCATTACAGTTAGTATTAATCAGAACTTACTTATATTGCTTAAAACATAATTAAATTGAAAGTAGATATTATGTCATTTTAAGTTATTTTACTTTCCTTGCATCGTAAATTTGATATGATAATAGTAATATAAACTTGTGAACCTGTAATGCTTTTGTGACTCAATACTAAATGATAAGAAGGTACTAATGCATTGTTTGAAATTCAATTGAGTTCTATAACAATTGTTCATATTCCTTATATATTCGTCTTTTAAATCATCATGTTATGATTATGGAAAAAGTTCCAGAAACATTATTTACTGTTATGTACATGTATTTATCCGCGGTTACTTATAATAGAATAAAAATTAATTAAGTTGCAGCTCGGATAGCAGATGTCCACTAATCAAATATTTGAGCAGCGATATTATTAACAAAGTTTGACGAATGTGTGCATAGGTTACATAGAATATTATTAGATTTATGATTGTCCGGACATGCCTTTATCTGACTACAACAAGGTTATGCCGAAATGTGGGATTATTTGGAAGCGAGCCCGAAAATCAAAATTAAGAGAATTTGTTAATTTAATATTTGATTAATTCTTTCGGAATTGCTATCTTTTTCCTTTAATTATATCATTTCAATTCCTGCAATGATTTAAAATTGATTCCGTTCTTAAAACCTCGTATCTAAATAGAAATCATACAGTTTTTGTTTGTTTTTCTTTTTTTTTTCTTGTTGTTTTGTTTAAATTAAACTCCTGTCAATAGCGTAACTTGTAGTCTGTTATAGGACATACAATAATTACACAAGAACAATTTGTAAATAATTGTTGTAACCTAAGAAATGAAACGGCACCAATTTCAAATGGTTATTTTGAATAACAAGAATATATCATTACTCTACTGGTATTATAGTGTTATTCTTTCTTCTATCAAGAAGATCTTTAATGTACAAGAAATTGACGACGCAGTTCACTTTTTAAAACTGTTATAGATCGTCAATGATATATACGAGTAGAAAAATGTTCATAAAATGTGTTATTTGATTAATACATAGCATTCTGTACAGCATTTGATCAAAATATAACATTGTTTGAAATATAACATATTTTCTGTACCACTATATATCTCGGTATAGTTAACAATATTTTCAAATTTTATCTTTAAGAGCTACAATATCATGGGAATTTTTATGAGAAAGCCTGGTAATAAAAGTAATCGGATTACAGGAAAACTTTTTTCCAAGTAAAAAAATTGTTTAAATACAAACACATAATGTATGTGCTTTTATTATACACGTATGTCAAATAATTACAAGTACAACATTTCAAACCGTATATGTTAAATCCTCTAGAGTGCTGTAGCACTATCAAATGCACTTATACTTTAATCAGAATCTCGCATTTACGTAGCATTGGGCAACTCTTAACTCTTGTTTGTCGAGTACATTTATAAATTAGATAAGTTTTAGTAACGAGATTGGAAAGTTTAGAACAAATCACTTTCTATCTCGTAAAAACAGAGTTTATTGCTTTTAAAAGAAGAAATTTCAAAATCTAATAAAAATCTAGTCAAAGCTGCAATATCGATTTTTTCACCGTCCTATGCAACTATCACATCCAATTAAAAATCTGTTATATTTTGATAATTAAGTCCAGTACTTTATTTAAATATTACATATTAAAAAAAGTTTATTTATTCATAGAAGTACAATTTGGCAGCACTTTTTGCTTTGAACAATCAATTATACCACAATTTCACAAACTTCAAAGCTTGTACTTTAAGTTAAAAATAAAAAAAAACAGCATTAAATAACCAGCTTTGATTGACACGTGAAAAATGTTAGAGAGAAGCATTCTCTATTTGTAAAATCTTGATAGCTTAATCATCGTAGGAAAGAACATGTCTTAATTTTCATCAACGTCAGTAATGTAATTATTGAAATGTTTCAAACAAAGGAAATTTGATAACAACCTCCCCAATTCAACGCGATCTGATGTGGTATTAATCAGTGATTATTTTATTGAATAAATCAGCCGGGGAAAACTCACCGAGGTTTCCGAAACAAAATACATCACGTTTATATCAGATGATTATTCTATCAAAATGTCTGAAATGATGTCAGCATATTAAAAGTTTGTTGTATATTTATTTATACCGGGATAGTAAGATTAAGGTTATTCAAATATCCATGTTTGTCGTTGATTTCCTTATTTGTTTTCTTCAAGACTTGTTCGATTATATTATAAACAAAATCAGGAAGACACTTTAACAATCTTTTTCTGTAACCTTAAAACATGTTCGATTTTGTTTCGCTGAAATAAAATATTTTAAAATGGTTGATGTCCGGTCTTTCGATTAACAGGCATATCGTTTTTCATTTAAAAATTTAATAAAAGATAATGTGAATATCAATGTCTTAAGATATGTTTTCTATTCAACTTTAAGTGCACATGGAAATAGAGAAATGTTGCATTAATGTGCTAGTCGATGTTAAATGAAAGGTGTTGATTTATTATTGCCTGTTCAAATTACAGGTTTTCAATTGCGCCTACTTCGTTCTACTTTATTCTCTGTTTATATTAATGGACATTTTCTGTGGTACAAAACATTACAGCAACTTTATTTAGAGTCTTAAACACATGTGTTTAGTTAAACCATTTACTTCTAACACTTAACGTAAATACATTTATATTTTTAAACGGCGTCTTCTCGTGACATGAACTTTATACAGTGAATCAATGCATTCAGAAATGACAATAAAACTCATTTAAAACGAATAAAAGAGCGGACACATCATTGATTATGATGGAAAAATATGTGTCTTTATTAAAAAAAATCAAAAGATATTTGTTAGATTCTATGATTCTTAAGTTTAACTTTAAACATTCAAATATATATTGCATCTGTAATTCAATCAAATAAAAAACAAATGTTTCAAAGACAATTGCACTTCAACAGTGTTGTTCTGGGTCTGGTGGTATATCACAATTTGTATTGTCTACAAGACCAAACATAGGGGAGATGACAGTTATATTTCATATAGAAACTATAATAAACCTTTTGCACGTAATTATTCCCGTCCCTCTTATCATACAAAAACACAATGAAACAAGCATAAACAAGAAAATGAGAAATAATTATCTGGAGGGAAGTACGTAATTATTCAGCTTTATTCTTATTTTATTGTTTGTGGTATAGTACATACAATTTAGTTTAAATCTTATCCTTACACTTTAAAGCCGGATGTTTTTTTATTGTCATACCAGACTAGCAATTATTTATTTACTGTCCAAATTTAACAATTGTAACACGGATTGGAAGAAAGAAATGTCTTCAAATGGTTTACTCCTACCCAGTTTATGATATTAAAATAGATTATAGAAATGATTTCGACTAAAGCAAGTAAATAAATAAATAAATAAAAATTAATTATCTAAATAATCTTATATGATAAAACCTGTTACAGCCTCAGTTCTTCACAATTGACATGTAAAGTATAAGCCTACTCTTCGAACTGCTGTTTTAAGAATTAAATGCATTATCGCATTGAAGTTGTTTATTTCTCCTGAGTGGTTATAAAACATTACATTTATGACTTAAAGTTAATGTTCACATTAACTTCCGAAACCAAAGCACGAACATATTGGTGATAAAAAATGTTATCGTAAAACCACCGTATTCTTTTAAATACAAACTATTGTCATTTTTAAGTAATCATTTGATTTAAACATTTCGATCCGGCGCAATAAAACAGATATGAAGTTTCATCCGATGCAAAGAGATTTTAATATATTGTTGAAGACAATTCATATTAAGTATTCTGATTTGGTAGATGCTCCAACATAAATGATGTTAATTGACATCCAATAAATGGCGCAGTAGTCAACCCGTTCCTCAATTACTGTCATGAACTCGAGCAAAGGTCTCGTGGTGGCCATAAGATTACGTTTTACACGGAGACGAGTGATCGTATGTCTGAAAAGAGACATTGCCTCCCTGCAAACATTGAATACAAATCAATTTAATAAATCTGCTGCCATATGAAGTTATCTTATTATAAGAGAAATATAAAGTTACAATAAAACAATTTGTTCTAGATGGTCGCTAGCGTCAGCATTAAATTAACTAGTCACAATATAAAGTTAATTTATATATGTTTTCAAGTACTCAAAATATTTTAGAAGTTCTATACG